TGGTAACAGCAAAATGACGCCGAGTTCCGAAAGAAAGAAAGAAAGAAAGAAAGAAAGAAAGAAAGAAAGAAAGAAAGGGAAAGACCCGCTCTATTTCCTCATTAACATAATTGCAAACAGAACGAATCTTTCTTGATTTCATGTAAACAACAGCTTGAAATGGTTTATAATCCTTGCAGGTATCATATTAAGTTCTTACTTATGGTCTGGAAATTAATTAGCCTTGCAGCAAGACAAATGTGAGAACTGTGCATTTTTGACAAGAAAATTAAGCAGCTATTGGGGAAAATGTAACTTAATCGTCACAGAGAAAATTGTTTGTAAATTGGTCGCGTTGTCTGAACTCTCGCCTCTGTGGCCGCCGGGGGCTGGGTGAGCGTGCGAGCCTGCGTTTGCCTAATCTGGGGCCGGTTTGGGCGATTATTGGGGTGGCGGTAGGGGAGGGATCAGAGGGACCGAGAGCGGGGCAGGGACGAGGAGAGGAGGGAAGGAGGAGACCCATATGAAGGAGCCGATGGCGGAGGAGGGCCAGGAGACGGGACGCAGCGATCGGGGGACCACCCTTCCCTGACCTCACAGCCTATACTGGGACCTAAGGGAAGGAGGAAGCAGAGCCCTCAGGTAACTGGGAGGAGGGCTCCACGCAGAGGGCAGTATGACCAAAGGTCCTGGGGCAGGGCTGAGTCTGGGACAGACAGGAGGCCGAGGGGGCTGCAGCAAAGCGAGAGAGGGGCCGTGCAGGCGAGAAGCCCTCAGACAAGGGATGGATGCCGGGAGCCTCGTGTGCGAAAGTGTGCAGGTGCCCTGCCCAAGGCGGCTGGAGGGCAAGTTAGGAGGGAGGAATGCGACCAGTGCTCAGCGGCCATCTTTGGCCCAGCAAGGTGGCAAGGAGGGTCCGCGGTGGACGTGCCCACTGCCCCCCCCCCACCGCCTATGGTGGAGGCTGGTAGGGCAGGCAGGTGCAGGGCGAGGGCTGCTGGAACCAACACCCTGCTTAGCATTCATGCAACTACGCACTTTGCACGGCTCCTGTGTCCCTCAGTTTCCTGAGCCCTGACGTGGGGGACAGACGGGAACAGCCACCAGGCTGTTTGGGGATTGGGGATGTGCCGTGTCGCACACCCAGAGCTGGCACGTAGCGCTCCCCAGGGAGGACGGGCGAGCACGGTTTTCCAGGTTACGGAGTCATTCGGCTGTGGTGGGCAGCAGAGAAGGGGCGGAGGCAGAACAGGAGGAGAGGGTGGCTCGGCCGGTGCTCACGAGACTCTGACCGTGGGACCAGACCCAAGGGGTAGAGGACAGAATCGGGTGTCCATAACACCCGTCTGCCGCCGGAGGGCCCGAGGGGGAGCCCAGGGTCACCCCAGGCTCCTCCCCTCCCCCTCCCACAAGCGAAGTGTAGGGGCACCAAGCGGGAAGCTAGAGAGGGAGAGAGCCCTTGCCTCTTAGGGCCACACCCATTGGCCAGGTCAGGGCAGCACAGCACAGCCCCTCTGCACCGTGAGGGGACCCGGGTCCGTGGGGCTCCTCGTGACAGCCACCTCCCCCAGCAGCACGGGCCCGGGCCCCACGCGGGTAACAGAGGAGCCCGCGGCAGAGCGCAGGCCCTGGTTCTGCCTCGGTGGTCAGGAAGCGGGCGGCTTCGGGGTCGGGCGTCGGACCCCAACCTACCGCGTACGAGCTGCGGGGCCTCGGGCCGGGCTGGCCTCCCTGAGCCCGCTCGTCCTCGCTGGAGATCCAGGATGGCCCCCCCGCCCCCGCCCCGGTGCCCTGAGGTCTGTGTGCTGACCGTGCGGGGACCGCTGGGAAGGTGCTGGGCACACAAAGCCTGTCGCGTAGCCTGGACGGGGCGCCCCAGTGCCACGTAAACTCTGAAGCGAAGGTGTGCCTGGCACTGCCCCGCTCCAGACCCTGGAACGCCAGAGCCGCCCAGCTGCCCATGCCCTGCCGTGTCAAAGCCTACAGGCCACTCTGCCGAGCCACTGAGGGTCCGCTGCTGCCCACGCAGCCCACACATCCTTCCCGTTGGGGAGGAAGCTCAGGCTTTGCAAGGAAGGAACGCCACACGAGGCCACCCCAAACAGCACAGCCGTCCCGTGCCCTACCTAGTTTCACACCAGCACGGGCCCGACCTCCGCCCCTCTCGGGGAGGGGTGGGGCAGAGCCCCCAGAGCCCTGTTCAGCACTGGGGCCTGGGCGGCGGGGGGGGGGTGTCTTAGCTCTCAGCTCCTCCTTCCTGCCATCTCCAGACCCCCAGACAGGCCCAGGGGTAGCCTGGTGACATGGACAGTTCACGCCTCTGCTCTGAGCCTCCATTTTCCCACCTGTACGACGGGGATGACGAGAGGCCCCAACTCAGAAGAAGCAGGAGATTGAGGAGGAATTCCGCTGTAGGGCAGGCTCCCTCGGGGAGGGTTTTTGCCATTACTGCCACAAAGGAGGAGTTCAGCTGGGACTGGGGGGGTGGCCCTGTGACCAGGGACCCAAGAGGTCAGCTAAACCACTCCCTGGCCATGGAGAAGGCTGTGTGGAACCTTCTAGACTGCCTAGTCTGCTGAGGGGGAGGACAGCAAGACAATGGACTCAGATCCTGGCCCTTTCCCTGTCGCTGGCCAGTGGGACTAGGGACACAGCGCAGCCTCCCAGACCACGTCAACACCGACCATCATCTCGAGGGGCCGGCCCTGGAATGTGCTCCCCCCTTGGACACTGGTGGCCTCTTGATGGACCCCCTAAGACCCGTTCGTTAATCCCGCCAGAGACCCCGGCCACGGCAGAGCAGGGTCACAGTTTACCCCGGCCTCACAACCCCTTCAGGGCTCGCGGCTCAGCTCAGTGCTCTCTCTTTCAGGCCTCGACGGTGGCTCTGGTGGCCACTCCCGTAGGGCTGCCCTATGCCCCCAGAGTCCCCAGGAAGTGAGGACAGGCCTGGCAGAAGCTACTTCACCCGGCCAGCCCCCCGCCTGGCACTTTGCAGAGGACAGAGGGGCACCGGGCACCTCCTGTATGGCCACGTTGGAAGCTCCGGGTCCAGGGAGTCGGGGATCACAGAGGGAGGGGGCCAGGGAGGGGGTCGTCCACTCGACACCACGGGCTGGAAACAGCAAAGCCGCTGCCAGTCCCCCAGTGCTTCACGCCCTAGGCCAGGGAGCCACCGTCACCCAAGCCCACGCCCTTGGGCCCGGGCAGCAGGGCCGGGGGGTCCCCAGCCATCCCACCAGTCCCTCAGCATTGCCTGTGTCCGCCCGGCTGCCCGTGGATGCGACCGGCGGGTGGGTTAGGCCACGCTCTGGGCTCGTCTGCTCCATGAAACGACCCCTGGGCCCCCCCCCGCCATGAGACCCCTGGGACAAGGCCTGCCCCTGCCACTCCCCACGAGCAGAAGACAGGCAGGCAGCGCAAATCCCAGCGTCAGCCAGGCACTGGGACACCTGCCGGTGTGGCACCCATAAACCTGGAGGGTAAGAAGGCCGGGGGGCCCGGCAGCTCAGGACCCCAGCCAGGGCCCCGCACTGGACACACCCAGGGACCAGCGTGGCCTTCCAGGAGGATTCTGGGCTTGTCTGAGCTGATCGCAGAGAAATGAATGGTGTCCGCGAGTCCAACAGGGCCTCCGAGGGGCCGCGTTCGCCTGCACGGAGCTAGGGCTTGGCGAGGGAAAAATGCTCCCGGCCAAGGGTCAGCCCCAGCCAAGGCAGGGATGGGCCGGGGTGGGAGCCTGGCCTGAAAGCCCTGAAGGCAGGGCGGGGAGAGGGGAGCCCAACTGTGTGCTTGGGGGGTTGTCTGCGGAGGTCTTGGGGCGCAGATAAAAATATGTCCCCGGGCCAGAATGGGGGGGACACTGTCCCCCCTACCCTGGAGGATGCATCTACGTCCCCGGGAACTCTTGAGGTGTCCCGTGCTGTGGTTGGGAGCCAGAGCTGGTGCGCCACCTGACCTCACCCCTGCAGGCGTGCTGATCCCGGGCAGGGCTGGGGAGGGGGTGGGCATGCTGGGGGAGGGTCCGCGCACCAGGTTCGGGGAGGGGTTTCAGAGCAGCCTGCCTGGGCCTGTGCCCTCTGGAGCTCTGCTGCCGGCCCCTTCCTCCCTGCCTGCTCCAGCCTGCCCAGAACGCAGCTCGGGGGCCGGTGCCCGCCCGCAGCCTGCCCCCCAAATGCCCGGGGCTGCCACCTGCCCAGGCCTGCCCGGGGAACTCCCAGGGCCCTTCTTTCTCCTGTCCTCTAGGCCGTGGTCCCTGCTCCTCTCCTGGCCTCTCTCATGCCCTCTGGCCCTCAACCCAGCCCCACCAGCTCCCACCCTGCTGGCTGCCTTGCCGTGCGCACGCTGGCCGCTCTGTGCCCCACGCTGGCTGCCAATCCCACAGCCCCGACGTCAGTGGAGTTCAGCCCAGCCCAGGAGGTGGAGCCACCTCGGGTCACCTCTGCAGCCACCTGGCGGGTCCCGTTCATGCCAAGCCCGGAGAAGTGCATGGCGGTAGCTCGTGGAGCTGGGCAGGGCCACAGGGCTGTGCAGAGGGGGCCGGCGTCGTGCCCTCCGTGGGAGTGCGTGTGCTCTCGAGTGTGAAAAGAACCAGGAGCTGTTTCCGCATCTTAAATTCGAGGTGTGTCAGGGGATCACACAGTCCTCCAGGAAAGCCAGTGGCCAGTTAGAGGGTAACGGGGGGTGGGGAGTGCCCTGTTCCCAGCACGCCTAGCACCGGCTCGCCATCCAGATGCGCCTCCTCTCAGGCGCGGGCCCCCATGATGTCACTTTGCAAGAGGGAAACGGAGGCTCAGACCACTCAGGCACCACTGGTCACCCAGCTCGTTAGCGGCCCGTGGGCTGACCAGCGCACCGCTGCCCGGAGCAGAAGCAGAACGTGCTGGCAGGCACGGCAGGGTGGGCGTGCCCCCGGCAGAAGGTCGGGGCGCAGGCTTCGGTCCACCCCGAACCAAAGCACGGGGGGCATTTGTGACCTGACGAAATGGTGCCGAGCGCTCGCTTAAGAGTAGGACGGAAAGCGTGTTTCGGGGGGGAAACAACCAGTGCTTGGGGTTTGTCTTCCCAGTGCCGAGGGACAGGCCACCATCTGACATTTGCACGGCTCGTAGGCGTGAAAGACCAGCCCCGTGGTCCACGCCCCAGCGCGTGCTGCCTCCCGTGCGGCGGGCGCTGCTGGCCTTACGCGTGTTTGAGGAGGTGGAGGCCTGGGCGCACAGCCTCGAGTCTCGGGAGGGACTCGTCTCCAACCCACTGCCCATCCCCCGGGACCCAGGATAACATTTCTGGTAGGGGAGAGGCAGGAGCATCACAAACCAGACAGTACGTCGAGAGCGCTAGCTGTGTAGGGGGAAAGTTAAGCTAGAGTGTCCCTGCCGGCTTACAGACACTGTAGGTGTAGGGCCATGGATGTTACGTTGAAGCCATTTAAAAGGCACAACCAGGAAGGGTGTGTGAGTAGCCAGCCCGCAGGCAGCAGACAGAGGTGACCTCCACCTCGGTGGCTCAGGCTGAGCCAGCCTCTGCGGCAGGGCTGAGAGCTGGAAACGGGGAGCGGGGCTGCAGTCTCACGAGGCCCCCTCCCCGCCGGGCAGCGGGCCGGGGAGAAAACCGCAGGTGACAATGGAGAGAGACACTCCTTAGTAGAAAGGCACTAAGGGTGGGCAAGGAACTGGAAAGACAGTTCACAAAAGAAGGGTCACAGAGACTGAAAAGATGCCTCACCCCTTCTGTCCTCAGAGACAGGGCTGGTCAGCCACGGCCCAGGGGTCTGATCCGGCCCTCAGCCTGTTCCTGTAAATTAAGTTTTATTAGAACACAGCCACGCCCACTCGTGTAGGATGGATGTCTGACCGCCCTCGTGTTGCAGTGGCAGAGTTGAGGGGTTGTAACAGAGACCACCCGGACCTCGACGCCTAAAATATCTACCCCCTGACCCTTTACAGAGAAATTTGCAAACCCTTGTCCTAAGAACTTAGATGGAGAGATACAAGACTGGATGTAAATTCTGTGCTGGCAACACAGGGATGAAATGGGCCTGGAAACTGGTCTCCCCTTCCAGAAAGTGCCTCGAGGAAATGTGTCAAGACCATGAAAACCTGCTCCTCTCCCTGTGGCCCTTTCGTCCCCCTTCCAGCAATCTACCCTGAAGAACGAATCAGGGGTGCCCCAAAGAGTAACGTGCAAACCAGCTAATAGCAGTCTTAGTTTTAACAGTGAGAAATTAGACACAGCACGGCCAACATTTGAACACCGGGGATCGTTATGTAGCTTCTAGTGACCTGGGAAAATGCCTAGTGTACGAGGTGACTCGGAGACGGATGGGGAACAGCGTGATCCGAGCTGGCGAGGGCGCGCGCGCGCGCGCGCGCGTGTGTGTGTAGAAAACAGCACCTTACGGGAAAGCAGGCTGCTCCCGCTGTCTGTCTCTGGAGGGTGGGCTCCCAGATGCACGCATGAAGAGCTTTTCCTGTACTTTCCAAAATTTTGTCCTGAGCCGTTTTGGTTTCAACGAGTGGGAAACAGTGAGCAATGAATGTGGAGGGAAGGAGGCTTTGAGGGGCTCCCCTGCAGAAGCGCCTGGTCTGGGAGCGGCGGGGGGGACCGCAAGCTGGGCTGTGGGACCGGGCACCCACTCAGGCCATGCCCAGGTTGGGCCAACGGGCCAGGCCCAGGGACCTCTCTGCTCTGCTCACTGAGAGCCATTGGGGTCACCTGGGGCCTTGCGTAGGGTGGGGCGGGCACCTTCCAGGGCTCGCCTGCCTGACCTGCTCCCCACCTGCCAGCCGCGTGCCCCAGCCCACTGCCTCCATGGGGCGGCCATCATCAGGTGGCTGCCATGAGGACATCGAGACTCAGGTCCCCTTTTGAGGTGACTCCCCCGACTGGGGGTCTGTGTAGTGGGTGGGACCCACCCTGTGGCCCCAGAGACTGACACCCTCCCCTGAAGTAGGGCCGGGCCCCTGCCCCAAACCCCCCCTAGGCCTCAGGTGCCTCCAGCCTCCGTACTGGTCCCCCGTTTCGATGGGGCAAGGGGCCCAGGGCCAGAGGGACAGAGCCGAGTGGCCGCTCGGGGCAGGCGCGGGAGAGTCTCGGCTCTTTCCGAAGGCGCCAACATTTCCTTGTCACAAAATGAAGTCAATGGGACAGTTAAGGGCGGGGGGGG